ACATGATTCAACTTAATTTTAAAGGTCCATTAATGTATTAAATATTTTAGTTATATTATCATTAAATTAATCATTTTTAAGTGCTAGATGAGTACTTAAAAAATATTCAATTGCGTTTGGGATCGCCCATAAATTACGCAATGCAAAAAATATTTTAATAACAGAAATAGGAAATATTAAGCTCTTTTACGAAGACTCTGAAAGGGAAAACTTTTGATCTTTTTTTGTTTTGTTTTTTGTGAAATTTTGCGTTACGTAATTTGTGGACGATTCTTTGCGTATTGTTCTATTCAATTCCGGGGACAAATTTCTCAATCCCGAAATCCCGGGATTGAAAATTTCCAGTATTTTTGCCATCCCTAGGGGGAAAATGCAGTTTTTTTTTAGTTTTCCGAAAGTTTACATTTAGGACTTCCGCTCTTTTAACATTTTAAATAATCAATTAATTCAGAAATTTCAACTAAACAAAACTAGATTCAGTATATAAAGTATATATTTCATTAAGTTGAGTTTTAATAGATAAAATGATGATATAATTAAATAGCAAAAGTTAGCAACTGGTAGATTTTCATAACAAAATAAAAATGTTATGAGAATATCCAGCAATAGCCTGTTACTTTATTTAGTTAGTATAAATCCGGCTGTAGAAAATATTCTTTGAACCAGAACTTTAACCACTGCGTCACGGCTGCTTCATTGTAACCTTCATTTTCACTTGGGCTTCAACATATTTATCACAATAGGAATGCAAAGACTGATACAAAAATCACTTCTAGAAAGCATTTTAAATACTTCTTCAAAAACACGCAAAACTAGATTTTTTCACAAATATTCCAGTTTCGTGAAAATTCAAAACTATTCAATAATACGCGAAACAACGGTTTCACCTATTTGAATTTAAGAAGTAAAGCTATTTGTACCTTGTAAAAGTTTCACCTTGTTGCAACGTAAATTTTTAGCCTAATTCAATTTTGTCGGCTATCTGAATTTTTTGCTGCTTGTATAGTATTGTGTAAAACCTGTGTAAAACCTGAAAAAATTTTGAAATAAATTCATTGAAACAAATTTTTTTTTGATAACCAGTTAGAGAGAATTACGGCATGGTGTCACAAAAAACAATTTCATTGATAACAGGTGGTTGTATGACAGTTAATAAGTTCAATTAATGAAACTATTGTTTTTTTTTTGAGTTCGATTTAATTTTTGTTCTAGTTTTACACTTAGACGTAGTAGTTTATTGCAATTCAAGCTCTTTGCTCCTTAGATCGTTCCTTTAATTCTTAGTTCATTCCTTTGCTTTTTTTATTGACCTGATATTAAAGATACTCACTTTTGTTTTGATTTGTATTTGAACCTTTTCCAGAAGCATTTGACAGTTTTGGAATAGCAAAGACTGATTTCGACAATAAGATGTGATTTTTTGAGTTGACAAGGAAAGCCAGCAACGGTCTTCGAATCATCAGAACAATTCTAATGTTCTAAATTTTAAAACAGACGTACTTGGGCTCGCAAGGTAAAGTGCTTCTTACCTCAATTTTTAACTTTTTTAATTCTCGATAATATTATTAATAATAATAATAATAATAATAATAATAATAATAATAATAATAATAATAATAATAATAATAAGTAATTGAAAAAAAAAGAAAAAAAATTTCTTAAAAAAAAATCCAAAGAAATAACTAAAAGCTTACATCCTTGTTAAACTTTTTATTTAACGTGGTATTAAAACTAAATTTGTTTTCGTTAGACAAAACGTTGTCAGATGTTCAATATTCATAATATTATGAGAACTCCAATAGTTTAGTAATGTAAACTTTAATAGATTAATTATTTTTGACTTTAATATTTTTAAAAAAGTAAGAAGTTGCGCTCTTACGTTCTCTCTCTCTCTATGCATATATATGTGCTAAAAAATTAAATACTTAGTGAACGATGGCCTCGAATTTAATTTAGATATGGCAAAATATTTTGTGTAAATCGCCCATGAAAATATGTTTTCTTGATTAAATAAAAATTTAGAACCGTTCAACTGAAATTTTAGTTTTGGTATATCTTTTAAACGAAAATTCATTTCACACCTACTTTATTATAAGTATAAAAACCAAAACCGATTTAATTTGAAACTTCTCCTGAAACCGAAACCAAATTTTAGGTGATTACTATTATGTACAGTCTTATAAAGATATGTATTTTTTCAGACATTTTTCCAGTTTTCTCGGAATTTTTTAATCAACGGAATGTCTAGACTTGTCCTTACTTGGTGACACTTTAAACACACTTTTTAATACTAGTTAGTAGAAGGAGACAACTGAATGAGCGCGAATTTCATAAGTGCAAACTGGCATAAGTGCAAGTGGTGCAAGTGCGAACTGGAGTAAATGCAAACTTGCATAGGTGCAAACTGGCATAAACACGAAGCAGTTACAAAAAATGGACACAAGTGCAAACTGGCAAAGGTACAAACTGCCATAAGTGCGTCAAAAGAATTTGTTAACATTACCATAAATGCGAACTAGCGTAAGTACAAATTGGCAAAAGCCAATTCGCACTTATTTTAATTTTTGCCATTTTATTCGGCGCACTTTGCCAATTCGCACTTATGCAAGCTTTTGTAACTGCTGACAGTTCGCACTTATGCCAATACTTTCAAATTCTTTTGACGCACTTATTTTGATTCGCACATATGCCAGTTTGCACTAATGCCAGTTTTCGCAACGCGACTCACATTTGCCAGTTCGCACTTATGAAATTCGCGCTTATTCAGCTTTCCGCTTAACGTTTTTTCTTTTGTTGGTTTATAAAGTTGCGTCACCTTAACTTTTAAAATCTTTGTGGAAAGTGACCAACTATAGTAAAAACAAAGTTTTGTGTTTTGCCTTAAGAAAAAAATAGTTTTAGTGAAAGAAAATGCTGTATTTTAAAGTCGCGCATTTTATACACACGCTGCATGCTAAAAGTTTAGAAAATAAATAAAGAAAGTAGACTCCGAAATTATTGTTATTTAATCATAAAAATAATAATAAATAATACATAGTGAAACACTTAAAAACTATTAAAAGTACAAATTGTCACCATAACAACGCGTTTGTATGCAAATATGCAATTAACACTCTCAAAACTGCAAATTCCATATCTAACAAAAAAAAATTTAGTTTTTAAAATTTATTTTTCAATTTATTTAAAAAGGTAAGCTTAAGGTAAAGTAAAAAAGGTAAATAAGTTAAGCTAGGTAAAGTTTTAATTTTAGTGCGCAAGCAAATACACGTTAAGGAGACACCGAAAGACAAAATATAATAAAAAAACGTGTCTTAAATGCACAATGGGGCCGAACAAAGGAAAAATGGCCAAAAATTAAAAAATCTGCCAATCCATTTAAAATTTTGCACAATTATAAAAAAGAGTATTCTAAATTGAATGAAAAAATAATTAAATGTTTTTTGAAAAAATTTTGACCATTTCTTTCGAAATAGAGTCTGATAAGAATTTCTTTAGCAATAAATTGACATTCAGTGATTGTTTTTACTTTTTACTATATTATTTAAGTATATATTTATAGCTTATGAAAAAAACTTTAGGAAAAAAAAAGTAAAACATGCGTATTTGTAAAAGGGAACGCGGTAACAGAGAGGAGCGGAGAGGAGTGAAACGCTGAGTGCCCCCCCCCCCCCCCCACAACTTTTTCCAAATTTTTAAAATAAAGTGTAAAATATTATATAAAAATATGAATAAGTTTTTTATACAAAAAATAAAAACTCATGCTGCCATCTATGTTGCAAGCAAATAATAGAGAAAAGCTATTGTACGAAATATTTTGTTCAATTTTATTGATACTCGATTCGAACTTGCAACCCCTTGGGTAAAGAGTTCAACACTATAACCACTGCGCCACGTCTGCTATTTTTATTATAAAAAATCATAACATCATCTTATTGATATATTTCAGAATCTACATTTTTTTCATACATGTGACTGTTTTCAAAATCATTTATAACATTTTCACTGTTAGAATCATCATCACAGTTTTCATTATTAATATTTGTATTTAAGATTAATAGTTCTCTTACTTCGGATGACATCTTATGTTTCTTGTACTTTTAAATTCTTTGTTGTAATCTTGAACTTTAAAGAATTGGATCTGAAGTCTCCATTGCACGTGTGAACACATCAAAGAGGTTGTGTTGGCGACTATCTTATCGAGCATGATTGATTTTATCTGATCTAAAAATTTTATTTCTACTTTCTGAAGCTTCTTCAGATAACATGCCAACAGGGACAATTGAATTTGATATGATTTGTGAGCCATGTATCAAAGGTTTATGTAATGTGGGAGTCATAGGAAATATTTTATATAATTTAACATACCGAGATGCTGTTGAGAAGCAATAGTCATTAAATTTGACTGGGTCAATTGGAAATCGATAAGAAATACACAAAAAAAGTATTCTAATCTTTGAATAGGCTCCAAGTCGATGTCTAAACTTTCAGACAAGAGCTTCGGATCTTCGAATGCTTTTTTTGCAACGTTTCCTGTATTACTATTCCCACTGCTTGATTTTGGCATGCCTATATGAATGTTAAGTTTGTTTTTGAATCGGCTTTGAATTTCAATCTTCCTTGCTTTTATTATTGCTTCGTTTTCTTTTCCATCCACTTGCCATTGATTTTCAGGCAAAACTAATTTATAAGAAATGTAACATTGCTTCGAAACAGCGTATATGCATGTGAAGAACACTTAAATCATATTGTAGAGCTACTGGGTTAACATTCATATCTTTTTAAGAACAACCACCCACAGTACATCGTTGAAACGAAGATGTCTTTGTAATAAATGCTTGAATCTTTCCATCTATTTACGTCAAACACAGATTACATTTAACCAATAGTTTCTTTCCGGACTTTAAAATAATCACAACCTCTTCGAGTTCAGCAATTTCTTTATCATATTTCTCCTTTAATTGAACTACGTATTCTTTACTTTCCTTTGCCAACTCGATTCTCTATGGACGGCAAAATCTAGTAGACTGAGGAGTTTGATTAATGCATAAAATTTTTCCACAGCTTGTTTGCAATCTTAAAAGAATCATAAATGTCACAAATAATGAACTATAACTAAAATTTTCACTTAGATCTTGATTGAACCTTGCTTGTTGCGTGCTACCGTCAAAGCCATAAGAAACTATAAATTTGCATTGAACAACATTAATTTCTGGAATTTCTTTCTCAATAAGTTCATGCTGCAATTTACTAATTCTTTTTAGAGTATGTTTTAATAAATGCTTCCATTCTACTTCACTGCAATTTTCTGTTTGCAATATTTCATTTGGACAACATTGAGATTTTTCAGCTGATACCAATTTATAAGGAGGGAAAATATCGCCACCTTAAGTTTTAGCTCAAATCTTATTTGATTATACTGATCTTTGGACAAATTCGTATCAAAAAGAAAGATAACACTTGTTCCGGTGACATTCTCACAACTTCAGAATTAATCTTATTCAATACAGCAGCTAAATTTTGACTTTAAATAACTTGTTTGGTTAAAAGAAATAAGTCTTTTTTATCATTTTGTGCAGCGACGGTTGCAGCAACTCTGAGGTACATTTCAGTTTCGGGTTCGTTATTAGATACAACATTAGCAATAACTCGGCGTTTGGATCTGGCAGACATCTCCAAAAACGGCGTAGTTGGTCTTCCTCTTTTCGTTTTTTCAGAACAGGACGGCTGAAGTCACATTTAAGCTCTATTGGAAGCTCGTATTCAGTTTGAAGCCAACTTCCATGGTATTTCATGAATCTTGCAGAAGAACAACCTTGCTTTCTCTAAAGCTCGTTGTATCGCTTTTTTATATTTTTTATTTTCTGTGTTATAACTTGTTTTTTTTCTTCCTTTAGGTGTCTTTTAAGTTTTTCTTCACAACACAACAAGCATTTTTCAATCGCTAGATAATGTTAATCATTTTGTTTTATAATTGCAACAATTTCACTATACTTAATAATCATTTTTAAATGTATTTACACATTTCACGGTTTTATTTATCTTTGAACAATGCTTTTGAATTGCGTAAGGATTATGTGTTACTGCAGTAACCAATAATCCTTAAAAAGTAATTATTCGTTATATAATTTTATATAATTATTGCAGTAACCAATAAAGTAATTATTGGTTACTGCAGATGGCATTTCTATCAGTATACTGATAGAAATGCCATCTGTCTTTATTTTTAGATTTTTTTAAAAAAAAAGACAAAAAAAAGTTTTTTAAAAGGAAAACAATGAATCAAACAGTACAAGACAGACTAAGTTTTTATCAAATTTGATTGAACTAAGTTTCAAGTATTTATTGCAAGTTAGACTTCCACCGGCCATCAACAGCAAAATTATATCTCTAGCTTTTAAGTTATAAACAAACTAAAAGCGCTATAAATATATATATATATATATTTTTATTGGAAATAAACTAAATTAAATTAATTTTATTGCATATATTGATAGACTTAACCATTATCTTTACATAAATATATAATTTAATATTCTTAAAACAGCAGTCACAAAATAAATGTAATAAACTCAAAATAGGAATTTTAAAACAAATTTCGGTCAGTTTGAGTTTGAATCTAATCGTTACACAACATCCAACTTTTTTTAAGTACAAACTAATCTATTTCAGATGCAGCTACAAATAAGATTTAAAATTAGCATTTAAAATTTTCAAAAATTAAAAACTTAATTTTTAGATTTTTGGCCATTTTTTCCTTTGTTAGGCCCCATTGTGCAATGAGATCAATATAAAATCCTTCCAATATCAATTATCACTTCTTCTTTGGAAACATATTAACTTTAATGAAGACGCATATACAATATATAATAAATTCTTTGATACGTTCTTCTCAATATACGATGCAAACTTTCCACATTGTGAAAAAATAACAAAAAAAAAACCTTAAATAGTCTATGGATTACCAAAGGACTTAGAAAATTCTTATATATACTCCTATATACAAAAACGGGAAAAAATCAAATATTAGTAGTGGGAAATTCGGGTAGCCCCGGACGGCGGGTAACTCCGGGCACCTGATGTACAGCTTAAACTAAAAAAGCTATGTGACTTTTAATACTAGAATAACATTATTTGAGTGAAAATATGGCATATGCAAAATATTTATCATAGTATACCGAAGCGAATGACTGGGAGGGCAAATTTTTTTTCCCACAACCAGAAGAGCGACGTATCATCATATTTGATTCACATATTAATATACCTATTTTTTATGTAAACTAATAACTTTTTAATGATTAAAGATGCATTTTTATTTACATTAGTTATTAAAAAAAAAAATTCGTTAAAAACTTTAATTCACTGGTTTTAAACTAGTATTTGTGAATGAGGTATGATCGGGTGGTATTGGACACATGTTTGGAGGTTGGCTCCGGACAACTTAATTCGTTAACATAATAATAAACAACTTTTTTTATATAAATATTAATACATTTAATATAATACATAAACCTATAATAGTAATTCATTTAATTTCAATAAAAAAACATTAAATTTGAAAAAATTGTTTTTAAAGTGTTTATTTTCATTATAAAAAAGCTTATGTTTATATTTTTAAATGATGACATTTTCAGTCTCATTCTTTATATATCAGAGGCAATTTTTAAAGGCGATTTTTTTAAAAATGTGTCGAGAACAGTCCAATGCTAAATTATTATAAGTTACATTTGTGTCACACTGGTAAAAAACACGTAAAATTATGTTTAAACTATGTGTCCAGGGCTACCCTCCAATTTTGAAACATGCCGTTTTTCTAACATTTTTTCTTTTATGTTTTGTATATTATTAAAATGCACAATAATTATTTTTTTGTTTCTAATTCGATAGATGAAAGTCTTTTGACACTTTGTTTTCTGTTAGTACATGCGTAGAATCTATATTTTCCTGAAGTGTCCGAGGCTACCCGACTCTCCCCTAATAATCGCCCTATCTCAGTTCTTTCAACTTTCTCAAAAATTTTAGAAAGAATTATGTACAATAGAACATACAACTCCTTAAATAGAACATACAATTACCTTAATCAAAATAAACTTTTACATAAAAATCAACTCGGTTTTAAAAAAAGTTGTTCAACTGAACAAGCCATTACACAGTTCAATCGTGAAATCTCCAATTCATTTGGAAGATTACAATAGGTATTTTCATTGACCTATCAAAAGCATTCGACACGGTTTTTTAAAAAAAAATTGGCAGAACTAATGGCAAATTAATAAAATGGTATAAAAGTTACTTGAAAAATAGAAAACAATTTGTTTTCTATGGAAATTATTTTCAAAATGAAAAATTAATTGACATAAAATCTGGTGTTCCACAGGGTTCTATTCTAGGTCCACTTTTGTTTTTAGTCTGAATAAATGATTTAAATAAAGCTTCTAACCTTATGAGTATCATTTTTGCGGACGATACTAGTTTACTTCTGTCAAACAGTGACATTTATGAGCTTTTTTCAAATATAAATAAAAAACTCAATCACATCTCCAACTAGTTTAAGTGCAAAAAGTTAACTTTAAACATTGACAAAACAAAATGGATCCTTTTCCACTCTCTCGCAAAAAAAGCGTTTTTTACCAAATAAGTTACCTAAACATTTTATTGATAAAATTGAAATAAAAAAGGAGTCGGTCACAAGTTTTTTAGGCATTTACATTGATGAAAATATTACATGGAAGTACCACATCGACTTTATTTCTACTAAATTGGACAAAAGTATTGGAATTCTATATAAGGTCAGATACTATCTAAGTAAACAAAATTTAATTCAACTCTACTACTTATTTATTCATAGCTATATAAATTATGCAAATATTGTTTGGGGAAGTACCTCTAAAAGTAAGTTACAAAATCTCTACCATCGTCAGAAACACACAATGCGTTTAATATGTTTTGAAAATTGTTTTTCTCATTCAAATATTTTACTTAAAAACCTTAAAGCACTTAACGTTTACGAACTCAATGTCTATAATATTTTATGTTTCGTTGTAAAAGTGATGAACCATTGATCAATTTCAAAGATCTTTTTACCCATAAAGCTATAATCAAATACACTTTACGAAATAATAATTTATTAATTGAACCCTTTTGTCGAACAAAGTTTAATCAATTTTGCAAAAACTATCAAGCACCGTATTTATGGAACAAAATTGTTGTTCCAAATTTTGATTTGTCAATTTCGTTTTCCGTTTTTATAACTAAATTAAAAAACTATATTCTTTCTATTGGCAATATATATATATATATATATATATAAATATATATATATATATATATATATATATATATATATATATATATATATATATATATATATATATATATATATATATATATATATATATATATATATATATATATATATATATATATATATATTTTTGAAATGTGATGTTATTTTCACTCTAGATGATTAGTAAAATTATTTTCAGTTTATGTTTATTCTACATTGTTAATAGTTATTAAATTAATTGTACTTTTATTTTATTATATATACACGTTTGATATATTTTATGTGGTTCTGGCGACAAGATCATTTGGATCTTCTTTCAGATACCAAGTTTATGCATTGTTATATTGTTATATTACAATTAATAACTGTAAACTAAAAAATTGAAAAAAAAAAAAGTCCTCACCACGCCACCACCCCCCCCCCTATCGCGACGGCCTTGTATATATATATATATATATATATATATATATATATATATATATATATATATATATATATATATATATATATATATATATATATATATATATATATATATATATATATATATATATATATATATATATATATATATATATATATATATATATATATATATATATTATATATATATATATATATATATATATATATATATATATATGTGTGTGTGTGTGTGTGTGTGTGTGTGTGTGTGTGTGTGTGTGTGTGTGTGTGTGTGAGTGTGTGTGTGGAGCGCTCTACCACTACACCACTATCGAAAATG